TATATATCTAATTATCTTTATAAATAAATATATTAAATTATCAGCAATTTGGTTTTATCTCTCTAGAGAACCCTAACACACCCCCCAACTATAAAATTATTTTCGTTGCTACTGCATCGCTGTCATTTTGCTACTGTTATGAATGAGACGAACCCTGTGAAAGGGTCATTCGACCCCCCAAAGGGGTCACGGCCCACAGGTTGAGAACCACTGGTATAAACAGAAGGAGGGAAGCCCGCTCACCTTGGGCAGTTTCCGGAGGAGGCCCTTCTCTGTCTTGGCGCACAGCGTCAGCTCGCACTGCAGGAAGAGCAGGGAGGTGTTGAAGACCGGCTTGAAAACGAAGCTGAACCGCTTCTTGTCCACCTCGGCTTGCAGGAGAGGGAAGTGCACTCTCTTGGGGTTGTAGAACTTTACGGATTCGTCTTTAGGACAGATGTTCTCAATGATGGTGTAATCGGACATCCAGTCGGGGTTGGAATACGGAGAGATAAAGCACGTCTGGATAGCAAATCCCAGCTCCGGGTCAGCCTTGGTGACCGAGACCTAGCAGCGAACAGAAATAGGTTAGCATCTTCCTTTGACTTGAGCCAGGAGAGCCGTTTGCTTTCTTCTCACTGCAGAAGTAACATGCATTCACTGAGGGAAGATGTTTTCCATTAAAATGTGAGATGGGTGGGGACAACGAATTGTGTAGTTCAAAGGTCAGCCTGAAAAATTCAAATACAAAATCGAGTAAGTCTCTTCAACTGCCATAGGTCCTCTGGGAAACAAAGCAAAATTTCCCAAATAAACACAACCCCAGAAGGCAAGGCAACCGCAAAGCTCCTGGCCTCCTCACAGCCTCTCCTAGCTTTCCCCCTGTTGGGCGGGGCCAGTGGCAGAATCTATTCAAATGTAGTGGGGAGTGCTCAGCTCCTAGACTGTGACGTCAGGACAGAACAAATACTCCCACTCCTGCCCCAACCTGGCAACCCCGTGTGCTACACGGTAGAATTGCTCCAGGAGGCTTTCTTGACTGCTTTTTTCTGGAGGGAATTGCCAGGCCATATTTCCACGGTGCCACTGGGTGAGTGCACACTGCCAACCTTTGGGTGAGTCGTCAGGCCTGCAACGTCACAGTAAAACTAAGGCGCACTGGTGTCCATCAGGGGGTGCACACTGGGCTGCTAACTGCAAGGCCAGGGCTTTGAACCCATCAGCCACTCCTTGGGAGAAAGAGGCGGCTTTCTGCTCCCACACGGATTTACAACCTTGGAAACCCGAAGGGGCAGTTCTTCCCTGTCCCATAGTGCCACCATGAGTGAGAATCGACTTAATGACAGTGAAGATGTGTGGGATACACAGACTGCCCCCAGCTCGACCCCCCCAAATATATGTCAGACCTAGGACACTGCTTGCAACTAATGGTAAATGATTGTCAAGTTATCTCCCTGAAGACTCCAGCCATCCCGAGCAAGCAGACACCATTGCTTCTCCCACAATAGGTGGGGCTCACTCCTGCTGTTGGGGACAGTGGATTGCTTCCCCTGAAAGCTTAGGCTAAATCAAGTCTCCAGCTCTAGGGCAACCAAGGTTAGGCCGCCATCATGAATCAAGGATCCACCTATCTTGTCACATGTGTACCCTTAATCCCTCCTCTTCCTATACAGTGTGTACCCCTAGCTTGTCCCCCTCCCGTTACTGTATTACCTATAGTACAACCCTTTTCTGTTACACATGTCTTTACCTGTAATTAGGGGGCATGCACGTCCCCAAAAGATATATAAGCCTCGCTTAGCAATAAATCGCTCTCTCTCCTGCTTTCTCTCCTGCCCTACACCACCAAGAGGAGCTGAGGTGAACATGCTACAACGAAATGTGTCTGACTTCTTTATTTTACTCTCTTTCTCGTCTCTCCCATTTCTCTATGACTTTACTATAATCTTTAAATATCTCAACCGTACAATTGCGCTTAGTGAACCTGTGATTAGTTATGGGGGGGGTGGTGGCTACCCTCACAAAGATGCAGGCACAGTTGGCCATGAGGGATGGCTCAATCTGGGAGTGATCGTGAGCCTGGCAAAGTTTCCTAGCTTCTTACAGGTCCACGCTAGGCCGCGGGGTATTTCAAGGAAAATTTTATCTGGAAACCATTCCAACTCATTTACACTTCCCTTGTACAAAACAGTTGTATGAGCCAGGTCCAAACCTTGTTAAGGCCCTTTTCTTTAGAAACAGGATGTAGTGTTTGGCCAAGTATAAACCGAACACAAGCCTCAAGAACCCTGAACTCAGTTAAAAAACCCTGGTCCCGACTGACCCTCCATTCTGTGAATTGCCATTCTATGAATTGCCCGTTTTGTATGCCTCATCCCTAATTACCATACACTTAGGATCAAAATAAATACTTCGGTAATAAAGTTAATATTTAATAGTCAATAGCGTCAAAATCCTCTCAAATGACAGAGAAATATAAGTGCAAGCTTTCCATTCTGAGGCACTCAGGAGCAATCCCTGACATCGCAAGGGGACCTGCGTCCTCAGCACTGTCATGGAAGATGCCTCCTTGGTTCATTGCAGGACACGCAACAATGGAGATGAAGAGAGGGACAATGCTAATGGCGATGGCTGCCAACAGTGGTTTCGTGGGTTGTCTTAATGCTTTCTAGAAGTTCTCACAGCCCCTTACTCTCTAGAAGAATCTTGTGAGACAAATATTTTCATCTCCATTTTATAAATGGAAAACAATCGAACATACCGGATAAATGACTTAATTAAAATCATCAACGACCGAATAATATCATGACTGACTCAGGTCTACTGAACCCAAGTCAATTCTCTCTTCACGGTTTACTTCACTGTAGCTACAGGATCAACTCCACCAGGACCAAGGTGTGGCCTCAGTGAGAACTCTTTGTAAAAAGTGGCTCTCGGAAATGGTGTTTGGTTATTTTTAAATATTTCTGAAAAAGTAAATAATTTATTGTGAATTACACATACCCTATTACTACAAAGTATTCTTTAACATGAACTCGAAACCCATATTACAAAAACATAGAAGCAATTAAGACAATGAACTAATGGATGATCCAAACATCAGTCTCTTAACACTGGAACTAGAAGAACTAGATAGTGCCCTGCACCCTGTACCAACTACTCTGGAAATAATCACAATAGAAGGTCCTATCGTAGAGGGTCCTAGAAAAGGGGAAACAAAAGTGTAGCACAGAACTGAAAAATCATAAAACAGGTCAGTCTTACTGCTCCAACAGATTGGTGGGACCCCATAGTCACCCTTCATGTCTAGAACTGAACTCACATTATCAATCATTTGAGGTCAAAAAGGCAGCATTCACCCAAGGGCAGAGGATTCGAAGGGAATAAAGGAAAATGGAACAGAAAAAAACACCAGGAGGAAGTGGGCTGAGTGATGATGGTTCATTGAGGGATTTAAAGTGGATGAGTTGAAACAAAAAGCGTATAAATTGTTGACTGTAAAACCCATGGTCTGCTCTGTAAGCCATCTGTATATACATATATAACAAAAGAACTGCAGATATTCCCTTGCAGCGGAAATACGTCATGATAATGTTGTCTTAGAGAAACCCCCCTGCCATCGAGTTGATTCTGACTCACAGAAACCCCATAGGGCAGAGCAGGACTGTCCCTGTGAGTTTCTCAGACGCGACTCTTTCTAGCAGTAGAAAGCCTCATCTTTCTCCTTCAGAGAAACTGGTGGTTTGAGCCATTACCTTTGTGCTTAGTAGCCTGACTTGTAACCTATCACACCACCACGTATCCTAAACAGTTGTTTGGGAGGGAAACTGTGATCAGTAATCTCTTCATATACAATGGACTGGAAATGAATACAGAACTATAGGCTTTGGTGTGAGACCAGCCCGAAGAAATCTTGCTTCCTCACTTGCAGATTTCAGACATCAATACCTACTAATGGTTATACTGAAGATTAGTACAGCGAAACTACTTGCAAACAACATAGTTCCAAGTTATTCAATAAATGCCAGCTATCATTAGCAGTATGACTTTAGATTTAAATTATTTGAGTTAAAGACCTTTTTGAATGCCCCCCCACACTCCAAATGCTGCCAGTATATGATCATTTACTATGAAAAGATGGCCAAAGAACTGATCACAAAACTGTGCTCATCATTTGTCTTAATGGAAGGGGTGGTGGCCTAGAAGGAACAGGGCATTCTGGGAGGGGGTGTGCAAATGAGGATGGATGGGCGAGGAAATATGGAAATACTTCTTCAAGCCAAGTAAAATGTTCCCTATCAGCAGTAGACTCACACTGAGAACTAATGACTAAGTAGGGTTGCTCTATTCCTCAGCCCCGCCCCCCCCCCACCCCCGAAGAAAAATCATAAACTCCATGGTTGGTCATCTAAAATTACGTTTAAATAAAGCAATTCATAACAGTGTTCCTTCTCAAAATTCTCTCCAATGTATGTGATATTAAAAGGGTCACCTGATACACTGGTCCAGATAGGAATGGGAAACACAGGGAGTCCAGGGCAGATGATCCCTGCAGGACCAGTGGTGAGAATGGCAATACCAGGAGGTGGGGTAGAAAGGGGGAACCGATTACAAGGATCTACATATAACCTCCTCCCTGGGGATGGACAACAGAAAAGCGGGTGAAGGGAGACTTCAGACAGTGTAAGATATGACAAAATAATAAGAATTTATAAATTATCAAGGGTTCGTGAGGGAAGGAGGACAGGGAGGGAGGGGAAAAAATGAGGAGCTGATACCAAGGGCTCAAGTAGAAAGCAAATGTTTTGAGACTGATGAGGGAAACAAATGTACAAATGTGCTTGACACAATGGATGTATCTGTGGATTGTGATAAGAGTTGTACGAGCCCCCAATAGAATGATTTTAAAAGGGTCACCTGAATGCTTCACTAATTTCTTTCTCAGCACTCGACGACAAAATTGCAGGCTCAATGGAATGATGAGAAGCTGAGATGAGACATGAAGGAGTATCCAGGGGAAAGCATAATGAAGAAGAAAAAATGTTTGTGGGGAGGGCGTCAGTCAGTATTAGGAAGATGGGGGAGAAAACCCAGAATGCAGAGCAGCATAAATCAGCAGTGTAATCACTGAGCCAAGCCAGACACACACTGGGACAGAATACACTGTCCTTGGGCGTGTCCCTACACGCCACAGCACACAGGGATTGTTTGCCAACTGCCTATGTGGATGGCGCAGCCAGAAAGGCAAGAGATCATGAGCGAGCCTGGTCTAGAAGAACCCTTGGCATGAAACTGTGTGGAGAAAGGAGTCTATGTTCCCTAGTAGAGAAGAGGCATGCACCCCCAGAAAGGGAGGCCCTCTCAGAACTGGGATCCAACAGAAGTGAGGGATCAGAATCCATATGGCCGAGGGGAGTAGTGAGTCGTGCAAATGTGGAGCTGCTTGCCTTTCTAGAAGACAAAGGCGTGTTAAAGTCCATTTTAACACATGGAAGTATCCCACTTCACGCCCCCTGGCCTTGCACCCCTCCCACAAGTGCAACAGAACACCAGCTTGTAGCTTAGCACCAACACAAGCGCATCAGCTGATGGCTTTGCAGGCTGTGCCCAGAGCACAACAAACTCAGACTTCCCGGTGCCAGAAAGACTCATCTTCTCTAGCATCCCATCTGTGAGCCACGGCTTTTGCACTGCTGCAAGGTTCTCTTCTCCCCTTCCTGATGGTGCTCGAAGGATAAACGGAGTCAGACTGGCAGGGCGGGAGCTCTTGACTTCTTTCCTAGGTACTAGCTGTGTGCCCTTGGGCAAGTCCCTGCTCCAATTTTCTGATCCAGAAAGTGGGAACATCAATAGTCTTGTTTCATGGGATCCGATTAATCAATCTCATCTAGTAATTAAATGGATACATCTACTACTCACAAATGTGTTTGGCGCACAGCACATGTGCAGTAAATGCTAGCTGTTATTTCATTATGACCACTACCACCTCATATTTTATAAGCCCTCTGCAGACTCTGTGGTGCCCATGACTAAACTCAGTCAGTTCTGACCCATCTGCCTCCCAGGGCGTCAGAAGGGAGCTGGGTGTGCGCTCTAGGGCTGGCGATGGCTGTGTGCAGAAGGCGAGCACCAGGAGCCCATCTAGAGGGCTCACACCTCCGATTGCAGTTAGTAGCGGACCACGTGAATCACCTGCACCATCCAGAGACTTCTGGGCACGACCATTAACGTGAGATTGAGGCAACAGTTCCAGTAAGCTTCTATTAGGTAGGTAGAACGGGGATGAGGGTGCCCACAGCACATGCTCAGAAGTTCGAGCTCCCGGACAGGAAGGGGTGGTACAGGTACACCTAGGTGGGCAGTGTACCCATCCAGGCCAGGTGAATTTAATTCAGCCAATAGGGCCAACCAGTATTGTCAACCACAAGGCAGGACCTGAAGCCCGCAGTGCGCCTTTTCATCTCTCCAGCTGCTTCTCTGCAGGCTGTGCTGTGATCTCCTCTCGCCTCAGGACTCCACGTGTGGGTGTGAACTGCCCTGAGGGCGCCTCTGTAAAACCTGGACCGTCTATCCTTTATGAGACTCACTGGGATCACAATCCAGGCTCCGGTATTTCTCACACGAGAGATCTAACACTTGCATATATATTTATAAAAGAAAAGAAAAACCGATGCTTATGCAGGTTTTCACTCAGACTCAAAACCAAACTCACGCAGACATGAGTGTGATATAAAAGATGATAGGCCAGGTGGTTTGAAAGATTCCCCACGTACCTGACATCAAAGGAAGCTACTGAGTTACTGTCTCAGAAATGCTGAGGACAAAGCAAGGATGGTAGAATTCCCAGTCCGCTCCCCTGTGCCTCCGCCCCAAAAATGTATCTACAAAATGCTCTTTATTTAGCAAAATATAGTAAGTTCTGCAACCAGTCAGCAATCAAACAGGAAGTGTTCTCTGAGCCAAGCTCACACCCAGAGCTTGGTCAAGGGCCAGGAGGAGCAGGAGGAGGTCCCCTGCCCAGGAACCACTGCCACCACACGCGGTGCTCACCCAACAGTCTAAGGCTGGTGGTTCGGGCCTCACCTCAACATAAACGTGTCCATTCTCTGCCACGGAGAAGAGCCCCTGTGAGGGCATTAAAAAGAGGTCGGTGTTGTACAGCTCCATGTTGAAGGTGACGTTTCTGTAGGGTGGATCCTGGAAGCTGCTGGGACGCCCCACCTGCGGCAGGCTGCAATTGAACTGGAAAAGCAAACAAGGAGATAAGCCACAGCCCAGTGGAGGAGGGAGGCCCACCAGCTTCAGGAGCTCGGTGGCCTTGAACACTCAGCTTCACATTGTGACGCTCCTTAACTAAAACCAGCCCCAAAGCCTTCTGCCAACATCCCCTGACAGCCAACACATACCACCACAATTTGGGGCCAGCCTTCATCCAGATCTCGTGGATATCCATTATCCCCAGACTCGGAATCCTCTAAGCTATCTGGCCACCCACTACTGTCCGGAAGTGGAGCTTGTATCACAATCTGAAAGGCAGAGAAGGCACGTCAGTCACAAGAACACAGAACTGCCTCCGATTGTTTCAACCGCACACCAGCATTCAGATGCAAACACAGGAACCACTGGGGGAGGTCATCCTTAGAGAAAAGATAAATAAAGAGAACAACCACATAGGTTCAGATTAAGATGTACACGCGCGCACATGTGCGCGCGCGCACACACGCAATTTATTTTTTCCTTTGTGAGGAAATACAAATCATTTCAAACAGCAGGAAGACACTAGATACTGTCAAGGGGCTGTCAATAGGCCCAGCAGGTGAAGGGGTGGGATTCTCCTTAGGAGGCCTTTTGTTATACAGACAACAAAAGATTTATAAAAGATTCTATTGAATTAGAAACAAATTGTTTCTCATGAATTGGTCTTCTCTTCAGCTTTCCTCTGGCCCAATTCTTCCTCAGTATCTTTCTGTATGGATGTGGGAAAGGGCACCACGCTTTACTCCAGGGCAATCTATCTTAACGCTGGTTCACAGGAATACTCCTGGGTAAATACTCCTGGAAAAATTCAACCAAGGACCAGGACTCCATAAAACCCAAATTGCTTTGCTGCGTAGGGTAACAATATGGAAAACCTTAAAGTAGTCATGCTTCCTTTTTATTTTGAGGACGGGGTAAGAGCTTTACATGCTTGGGTTCTGAACATGTTGCAAAATAAAAACAGGTGGTGAGTAGTAAAAGTACTCTCAACAGCTTTAATTCATACAAATAGCTACAACTGATGGGAGTACAATGGGACGAGAATTGAAGAAACCCTACGTCCCTCATCTTTCAAAGGACCTCACAAGGAATGTACCACTGCAAGGCCATTGCCACCGACTGCTCCCTGGGGTTTCTGAGACTGTCCATCTTTATATGAACAGATAACCTCATCCTTTCCACTAGAGCGGCTCGTGGGTTTGAACCTCTGACCTTGTGCTTAGCCAAAAGCCTACTGCCATTGAGTTGATTCTGACTCATGGAAACACTAGATTGAGTTCCCAAGGCTCTTGGCCTTTACAGGAACAGAATGCCTATCTTTCTTCCTGGGAGAGGCTGGTGAGCTTGAACCATTGACCTTGTGGCTAGCATTCCAACACTTCCCCATCAGAGCTACCAGCACATCATGTACCCCACTAGGACGTCAGGCAAAAGAAGCATAAACCTAAGATAGTGGCTATGCTGGGGACCATAAATACGCAAAATATCAACTCATAAGAGGGAAGGGAATTTAAGGTCTCCATGATATACAGTTCTGTCCTGAGACAACACTACTTAAACAAACAAAAAAACTCACACCAATTATTGTAACCTCTTATTGGTATTAATTTGGACACAAGTTTAAAATGCTGAAATCAAACATATTAGCAACATGAGAGAAAGTGAAAAAGAATTGCTATAAAATCCAAGAAACCTTTATTAAACAGAAATGTCAAACTGTGAAGCTGGGGGGTGGGGGTGGGTTTGTTTCTGTGTTCTTACAGACTCTCGCTGAGACGGAGACCGTTTTGAGGGTGGTGTTTCCATTTCTCCAACCTCCCCCCACCGAATGCTGCAATGTTCTGTTGCCACCATGTCAAAATGGCAGGTGGAGCATCCTTAAGCCACTCAAATCGTGCTCTTTTGTAATGTTCTCTGAGTCTGGGAAACAAAGGAAGTCTGAGGGGTAAAGATTGGGGCTGCGGTGTGTTTAGGGTAAGGTTTCCCGACAAAATTCTCCTAGGACTGGCTTGCTCCCCTTCTAGAACCAATGAGCAGTCCTGGAGTGTTGGAGGAAAAAATCCCCTGGTGCACCTTTCTTTGACTTTTTCTCACCAATGCCGTTCTCAATTTTCTTTAAAATTTCTTCCTACGAATCCCAGTGAGTGTCCTGTGTCCTTCAAAAAAACTCTTATCACGATTCCCCCTTTTGAGTCCCCAAACCATCGAGACAACCCTCTGAGCTGACTTCGCTACCTTGAATCGAAGTGGCGCTCAGCCCCTCGGCAGCCACTGTGCTCATCGGGCCTCTTTGTGCAGGCCCCTACTGTAAGGGTGTTCTTCATGTACTTCATTTTGTGTGTTTGGACTAAACCTGGGCATACATGAACTAGACCTCCAGAAGTCAGGCTTTTTGACTCACCCTTGTATATGACATTCATACTAACTGAAAGGAGGAGGTAAACTGCAGGAAAAACTGGACAATTTGAAGAAAATTAGTCTTGTAATTCAGAGGAGGGTGTTTTTCACAGATATCAAAGACAAGTGGGCGGGGCCAGCCTAACGCTGGGTAAGATCAGTGTACCAGAAGCCAGCTAGGTACGCTCAGTCCTGGTTCTCACATTAACGAGTCCCTTGGATCTAAGCACGCTCATAGCTTTCTGGAGTTCAATTTCCTCACCTGTGAAGTGAGGAAGTTGGATGAGATCATCTTAGGCTCCTTTCCAGCTCAAATATTCTGAAATTCTCCGAGGAACAAAAACCTCAGGCTCATAGGAGAGCCAAATTCCCACATGAAACCTGATTGACATTCTTGTCTCTAGATTAGGTCAAATGCCTCTGTCCGCCTGTGGCTAAGAGCTAACGCCCTGCCCAGTTCCACAGCAAAACCAGGTTTAGAGCAGCACCTGCCCTGGCCTGAGAATCAGCACATCTAAACACACCGTGTCAGAGCGGGACAGGAACAGCGGGACTCCGACTGTGCTCTCGGCTTGAAGACGGAGAAGCTGCATGGTTAACACTGGGCAGGCTGGTTGGTTTGTAGCGTTTGGAACTCTTTGCTATTTACTGCCCTGCGTCTATCTCCAGGAAAAAGGGTTTCTTCCAAATAACAAGGTCTGAGATGAACTGCTAAGAGCGATTCTCTAACTGTGAAGGCTGCCTATTGCATCGGATTATCACTGGGGCAAAGTGCAGAATCTCCATCCAGGCAGCTGCCCGGGTGGGGGCCCTCTCTTAGAGATGGAGAGACTTAATGATTAGTTCTTAAAGGCCCCTTTCATATTTTTCTCTCTGAGAGGGAAGGGGAGGGGTGGGGCTTCCTACTTCTGGACACCATGTGAGGATGCACTTGGACTTCCTCTCGTTTGGAGGCGGGAGACTCCCTCCATTTCTGCACAAGAGCGGTCCCCTGACGGGTTCGCTCAGTTGTGCAGAGGAGCTCCACGCTCGCCTCAGGCCTGGAGCTTCGTCCCCACAGGGACCAGGCTGTTTGACCGTGCAGCTGGACCGAACAGAGAAGTTGTAATCATCTTCCCGTGAGCCTTCTGGAAAGAGCTAAGAGGAGGGGCAGGAGAGATCACCACGAATGCCCCAGCCAATGCCCTGGGGGCCACTGTGCGTCAGAACAGGCTCAACGGCACTGAGGAGTTTTGCTGTTTGGTTCACTCCCGCGGACTCACCAGTAAGAGAAATACCAAGAGGGCAGAGTCCAAGTGCATCCCATTGTGTTGAGAAGGGACACTTGGCTTTGTTCAGGCCTGGCACGACCCCCTGCTCACTTTCCTGGCTCTGTTGATGGAAGGAAGGCTAATGATGACCTCGAGCGAGGCGCTGGCCAAGGCACCCTTTAGTTCTCGAGAACACTCACCGAGTTGTAGTAAACCACACCATCTCGGCCTGATTGCCGGTGCTGGGTGCCGCAGCCAGTCAGCGGAGACTCCAAGACAAAGTGGGTGTCGTTCACCTTGGCCTTGCAGGTAGGATCTAGCAGGGTGAGTGTGATCTCTGAGTGGCTGCTGGTCTGAAACAAGAACCATCCAACACACAATGGGGTGGGGCTGGGGCCCACAGGCAGTTTTACTGCATACAGTCGATATATTTTACCTGGTCTTCCCAGTAAATGTTGCTAGGGGCTTGCATTCCCTCCCCACTCCACCCCCCACCTCCATCCCCGCCCCAACCTCTTCCCGGTCTACTCTCTCTCAAGGTCCCCAGGATTGTGGTTCTTGGCCTTGAAAATTCAATAGCAAAATATTGACACACAAGAACCTGCCCCCGTCTCCCCATCCCCCAACTGAGAACAACAGGAAGCCGCTGAGAACTGCAGCCAAAGGAAGTAGGCCCATCCGACGGAGAAAACAGCGCCAGGCCTCAGAGTTCACAAGTGACGGCACAGAGCCGGGGCAACGGGAGCGGGCAGCCCTCGCTCTGATAAGACCCTGCACTGACCTGAAGAGAAGCTTTCTCCACAACCACAGTCAGCTTCTCATGGTCACATCTGACTGACAGGGCAACCTCCATGCTCCCCTGCGTCTCTTCTGGCTCTCTGGCATCAGGAAACAGCTGAGTAGCGGGACTGCGGGGGTCCTTGGGCCAAGGGATCCCAACTTCTTCCCCTTCTGGTTGTCCTCTTCTGGGGACGTCAGGGAACGGAAAAGGAAAGCCTCCCCCTTGGCTTCCCCCTTCCCGAATGGGTGGGCTCTCCCCGGCACCCTGGAAAGGCAGGGTGTGGTGGCCCAGCAGGATTCGCAGCTCCGGGGGGATGGTGTGCACCTCCTCGGCGCTCATCTCCTCTGGAGGGAAAGAGAGGACACAGCCTAACTCATGGTTCCATCATCATCAAGTGCAGGGTGTGTGTGTGTGTGTGTGTGTGTGTGTGTGTGTGTGTGTGTGTGTGTAGAAAGGGATTGTGTAAAATGACTTTGAAAAGAGATGAGGGGTCTGGATGCCTGAATCCTGGAGTCCTGACATGTCCCATAATTTGCTGAGTGACTCTGGGCAGATGGCTTACTTTTCTGTACCCCTATTCCTTAATCTTTAAAAGAAGGGGGTTGCCTCTCAACTTCAGCTGTGTACCATAACCAACCTGGGAGCTTACACATTTCAAATTCAAACAAACACCCTCTCTCAAATTCAAGCTTACACATTGCAAATTCAAACAAACACCCTCTCTCAAATTCAAGCAGCACCCAGACCAATTAAGAATTGGACTCGCTGGGTTAGGATCTAGTCATGATGGCTTTCAAGCTTGTAGACCCACTGGATTGGGTGGTTTCCAAGGCCCCACGCAATACAAAGGACTCAAACTCTATGACTGAAACCAATGATGGGAGACAACGTTATCCCACCTGCTCGACGGAGGTATGTGGAGTCGGAGGAGCCCGGTGGCACGGTGGTCAATGGGGCAGCAGTGGGAACCACCCGCTGCTCCTCGTGAGAGAATGGGGCTTCCTCCTCCCATACAGAGTCCCAGTCCCAGAGACTCACAGGGGCGGTCACCCCAGCCTACAGGGTTCTATGAGTCAGCACTGACTTGATGGCTGTAAGCTTGCATCGTTGTTATTTTGAGTCTAGAGATTCTTCAGAGCCATTTCTCTAAAGGTTTTTTAAAATTATTTTGCTGCCCCATTTTCTAGCTGCTAAATTCCAACTGGTACCCCAGCCCTTCTTATTACAGGGAACAGTACGTAATAGCTGCTTAGGCGTCCTTATTGGTCTAAAGGGGAAACCTATTTCCAAACCTATTGAGGCTTGATATTTTGTCATTTTTGAAACAGTCTGGAGAAAACCCGCAATGATTGTCCTTGCCTTCTTATGTCCACTACTATGTCAGGTAGCTTCAGGTAGCTCTATTTCAGGGGAAGCTGGAGGTGGAGATGAGTGGGTACCATCCACTCACCTTCCATACTGCCCTGCTGGAAAGATGGCCCCACTGGACGGGCCCAAATGAAATCCAAGCCTTGGACGGTTTTTAATTTGCACCTCAGCAGAAACGGAAATCAGTCCTATTGTCCCTCCATGTTAGCTCGGAGGGACCCCCTGAGTCTCAGAGAGTGAGGTGGGCTTAATTTATCTTGAATTAATATAATCATAGGAGCCAGCCATGAGTGGAGTACATATAACAAAGTTCTCCAACATGCGCTCTATCTTACTGACAAAGGATATAAAAGGTATGTTCACCAAAGCAATTCCACTTGAAAACGAGCAATAGAAAAACGAAGTGCAGTGTATGAAGGTTTAGATGAATCGCGTTGGGAGTATATGTATTTTTCAATCATACTTACCATTGTTTTTGAGACGTAGGTGAAATTTGTTCGCCACACGTGCCATCGTATATGATGTGACTGGACCGTGGCCATTGTCCAGAGCCCACTTGACCAGATCCTCTGGTGAGGAAGGAAGGTCCTCTCGGATGGATTTGGTCATCGCCATGGACCTCTCGCTCTCTTTCCCAAAGGCAATGCTGTTGGAAGACTGAAGGACACAGGACAATTTCACTTGTGAGTCTAAAATTAAACAGTATTTTAGGTAAGATCAATCGCATCTTTGAATCAAACATGCTCTGCGTTGTGGGCCAGTTAATTTACACATTTGCTCTATGGTTCCCGTGCTTGGGAAGGAAAGCCTGGTGATGGCCCTGTCACGATTCCGGCTAGGAAAGCCAAGGACAATCACTTCTGCTCTGTCACATGGGTGCGCTGTGACACTCAGCAACAAAGCCACTGATCTCATGCAAATACCTTAAGAGCAGACTTAAAGACAGCGGTCTGCAGTTCAAACCCACCAGCTGCTCTGTGGGGGAAAAAAAAAAAAAAAAAGGCGCTCCGTTCCCATAAAGTCACTGTCTCAGTAACCCACATGGGGCAGTTGGGAGATTTCCCTGTCCTATAAGATTGTTGTGATTCAAAATTGAGTGAATGGCCATGTGTTTTCCCCCTTATTTGTGTTCACATTCACATTCGTGTTCACATTCGTAGGATGTGATGAGCGGAAGATAAGGCTGTCGGCTCCCATAAAGATCTGCAGTCTTGGAACCCCTCCCCCTCAACGGGGTCACTCAGAGTCAGAACTGACTCCATGAGAGTAGGTAGTCACGCTTAATTAGGATTCTTGGGTTGCTTATATTGATAAAAATAATCCAGTCAAAACCAAGCAGCTTACCTCTCTCTGGTGTATGTAATCTATCAGTGTAGAGATAAGCTATAATGTTTCAATGAGGCTATGTAATTTATATATAAATATAAATAAATATATATATATATATACACACACACAAATAAATAAGAGAGTCTTCCCTGTCTCATATTTTAAACTATGTATGAAGTACTCAGATGCGCATGCTACAATATACCCTAGGTTTAAATGAAAGAAGCATAAGCTAGCTACTTCAACGTCAGGGCTATTCCATCTTTACAAACGGTGAAATTCGCTAATGGCGACACACACAGTGCTTATCATTTTGATCAATTTCTCAATCCAATAACTGCATCTATTTGTCAATTCTAAGTGAACATGCTTGGGGGCTCTGTTTTAAAATAGCTAATTCAATGGCTTAGGTTGCTGTCCCTTAAGTACTAACATTTTATCCAGCAATACTGGTCATATAGTTAGCTTTCATCTGGCAATCTGTTATTGACACTGAAAGCTAGGAATTGTTCCAGGAAACACCCTCAGAGGATTTTCTCAAGTGAGACCCTTGCCTGTCCGTTTGTAGTGCTGTGGTGACCATGTGTGGCTGTGATGTTGGACACCATGCTACCAGTATTTCAAGTGCCAGCAGGGCACCGCAGGGGCAAGTTTCCACAGAACTTCCAGACTAAGGTCCACAAGGAACAAGGGTCTGGTGACCTGCTTCTGAAAGAAACGGGTCCCTAACAGCCTGATGGACAGACAGTCGTGGAACTGGATTAACATCGTGGCTATGCCAGGGCAGGGATGGCACAGGGCAGGACCACAGCTCGTGGACTCAGAACCGACTCGACAGCACCTAACACAATGGTAGGCTGCGTGCGGGCGGCACCTCTAAGAAAGGGTCTTGACCATGCAGGACATGGAAGGCGAATTCCCACTGTGCTCAGACTCCTGCAGTGGGCTTCCTGCTGGGAAGGGAGCAGCCACCAGCGGGAAGCACCACATTCCCAACAACTGCTCCAAGGCCCCCCACCCCCACCTCCGCCAGCCCTTCCAGCATGCAGATTATGCCATTTTCATGCTGTGTAAAGACGCTTTAATTTCCGGGCCCAGTTACTTTCCCCTGCATACATGCAGCATTTCCACCAAACTCTCCATTTGCTTCCCACTGTTTGCTCCTAACATGACCAAATATTAATCCTTTCCCACTGTAAAACCATAAAAGAGGCACCAGCTCTAAATTCTCCTGGCTTCTCTGGTTGTGGGATATTGGCTGAGGGCATTGCATATTTCAGTGCACAGCTTAAAAGGATCACACCTGGGACTGCTGTCTATTACCCAAGGTGCCTATCTGCGGGAAAGCCGCCAGACTGCCTGGTCACAGACACTGTACACAAACATATCCCAGAACTTCAGCCAAGTGCTGTACTTATGCACCACTTTCATTTCATGGGGTCGCAACTCTCTGAGTGGCTGAAAATTCCTTAAGAGAATAAAGGGTAACAACAACAACAACAACAATTAAAAGGAGGCAAAGAAGGAGCCGTTTGTTGTTCTTCTGGGAGATATTTATTGGTGTTGTGGCTGTAAATTGACCCTGAAAATTCTATTCCTAGTGCACACCCCATACATACGCATTGCTCCATAGTACTGGTTGCAACCCAGCACCGCCACACCCTGCCCGCCCGCCCGCCTGACAGCGCTGTTTCCCTGCCCTCCCGGCCTCCTCAGCTCCGCTGCTGGGTGAGTGGAGACCAGGGTTCTACAGAGCACATACCTAATGGTTTCAGGGTTTTTTGGTTTTCTCCTAAGCCATTCTATTATTGGCTGAAAGGTATCCTCTGGGAGTGGCTTCCCAGTTTAAAAGGGTGACTTAGACAACGTCTCGGGGGTTCCTCAATTTTATATCAGCCCAGCAAGTCTTGTTTTGTTGTTGTTGTTTCCCCCACCCCCGCAAAATTGAGATTGGATCTACATATTCCTCCCACTCTGGCCAGGACCTCCTATCGTGGCCCTGGTCAGCGTGGCTGGGGTTGGTAGCTGGTCAGCATCTGGTTCTTGCAGTCTCTGAACAGAAAAGGTTGCACTTAATGTACCTCTTTAGTCCTGGAGACCCATTTCTGCCTTGCGCCTTTGATTTCCTTTGCGCGTCTTTGCTTCAGTTGGGAAGAAACCAATAGTGGTAGCTTAGCCTGCTGCTCTCAAGCTTTGAAGCCTCGCCGCTGCCCTCCAAATTGAGATGGAGAGTGCTATCTTCATGAACCAAGTTATTCCAATCGACCCACCTGTCCTGTGACAAGACGGCCCCAGTCCCAGCCCAGTAAATCAGCCTCAGCGGGTGTTTGGGAATGTCTATGAAGTGTCCCTCACTGCAGTCCCCTTTGTGCATGGTTGTTTATATAACTGTAGATACCAGCACATATAGAGATGATATGTTCCATATATATATATATTTTCCCATAGCCCAACAGCACACACATCTACCTATGTAAACAATCGCCTATTTTCTATGTTTATTACTGCTGCTGCAGAGTGGGATAGGTGAGAGTATTTACCATAGCTGTCCTTCAGCAATGTGCGCGTAGAACTCTCTGTTTCTTCAGTCAACAGCAGTTTCGTGCTAGGCACCCTGTCTTCCAGTTTTTCAAAACAGCATACTGTTTTAATTAGCTGCAATGGCAACAATTCAGTCTGGCTTCATCTGGCCTAGTCTTTCATGTTGTTGGACAGCTAGGAAAATATTTTATTTCCAGAATACCATCAGCAGCACTGCCACCTGTCCTTGTGTACCACTATGGACTGCCCTGTTTACACCTTTGCACATTGAGTACAGGAGCTGTCAGCACAATTCAGATTGACAACACCGAGTGATTTACAGGGAAACCTGGTGGTCTATGGGTTAAGCGCTCAACTCCTAATTGAAAGATTGGTTGGTAGTTTAGACCCACCAGCTGTTCTACATAGAAAGAGGTGACAGTTTGCTTTCATAAAGATTTATAGCCTTAGAAACCCTTTGGGGGCAGTAGTTCTACTCTGTCCTATAACACCCCCACACCCCGCCAAAAAAAACCCCCACTGCTTTTGAGTCAGCTGCTGACTCATGGCGACCCCCTGTGGGTTTCTAAGACTGCAACTGTTCGTGGGAGTAGGACACCCAGTCTTTCCCCAGAGGAGCGTCTTGTGGTTTCAAACTGCTGACCACGCAGATCCCAGCCCAACTCAAAACCACTATGCCACCAGGACTTCAGCATCGACTCTATAGTAATGGCTTTGGTTTTTGTTTAGAGATTCACAAGGCTAGGACTCCATATACATCTTTGGGAAGCGGTAAGGCTTGGGGTAATGGCAGTCAAGTTAGCGCCCCACATTGAACAATGTCCTCTCACCCTACAGTCCAGGGAACCTTGAGCTTTCCCAGCCCTCATGGTACTATTGCAGTTGAGGGTCTTCCAGGGGGCCTTCACCATCAGCCTTCCCAACCACATCTGCCTGAAAGATGAGGAGCTGGCAATGGCCTGAGTGCCTTTCTCCTGTCTCCCTGACCAAGGCATGGGAGCTCACTGGGGGCGGGAAGGCAGCTAGAGAGGGCCGTGCATATTCCCACTTGGTTTTCTAAAACAAATGTCTTCTCAAAGAACAAGCTGGCCACCACCCACCATGAAGTCGAGGTCACGTGAGACTGTCACATCAAATCTCCAACCCACTTTCCCCGCTTGTTCCTCGAGGTGTCAGGGCTTCTTCGTGCCATGAAAGCGATGGCGCACGCTCATGAAGGAGCTCAGAAAATAAGCCAGGGCTGGGAATAGCAATGTGGGTGCGTCATCCCCACTCCTGCCCACAGCACAGCCTCGGTGTCCCTTTTTGAGCACTCTGTCATTGGTGGAGCCCCTTCTGCCCACATCCCGCCCAGCCCCAAAGTGCACATGCCACACCATCACTGGTGGTACTCTTCTTTTTCACGGAGCCCACCGGTTCTTTCCAGGAAAGAGCCACGATCCCAGTAGGGGACAACGATTTGCTTTCACTACGTTTAGAGAAGCACCACAGCGGTTCCTATAACAGAACCACACCACTGCCATCGAGCCAAGCCCCACTCCTAGTGGCCCTGGGCAGTTTCTGAGGTTTAAAAGGGGCACACAGCCTCAACTTTCTCCCACACAGTGACCTTGCAGTTATCAGCCCAACATCTAACCCATCGTGCCACCAGGGCTAGGCATTCATACTATTGATGGAGGAGACGAAGGATCCCCTTTATGCCAGGCACTCTGTTTTCCGTCCATCACTTGTCTGTCAGTCTGTCCTACCGCGTTGCCTTGCAACGATGATGGAAGCCGTGTCACTGCTATTTCAACTAGGGTGAACAGGTTTCAGCAGAGCTTCCAGACTAAGAACAGACTAACATATATTTAATTTTCAACTTCAACCTGAACTTACATATATCAGAAAGAACCAGAGAACACTTCACCAATTCAAGAGATGGCATATGACGGGAAATGGATGGCACTGAAGGAAGACGTCCAAACTGCACTGAATGCATCAGCCAAAACCCCAAGGCTCCAAGAATTGGTGGAATACCAAGAAAAAGAGCAAGCGCTGGAAGCACCCACTCATCTATGCCAAGAAATTTGGGAGACAGCTACCTGGACAACCAACTGGAAGAGATCCTTATTTGTGCCCACTCCAAAGAAAGGTGGCCCAACAGAATGCACACATTACAGAACAACACCAATGCTATAATATGCAAATAAAATTTTGCTGAAGATTACTCAACAACAGTTGCAGCAGTAAATTGACTGGGAGCTGCTAGAAATTCAAGTTGGATTCAGAAGAGGATGTAGAACAAGGGACATCATCGCTGATGTCAGCTGGATCGTGGATCAAAGAAGGGAACACCAGAAACAGGGTTTCCTTGTGTTTTATTGAGTTTTCAAGGCACTTGACCGTAAAAGAATGGAAACTCCCGAACAGGTCCTTGTGCTCCTGTGGAACCTGCATATGGATCAAGAGGCAGCCGCTTGAGCAGCAGCTCTGTCTGGTTCTGCAGCCAGGACTCTCTCCACCCCACCACACGGTCTCTAAGGAACTCCTAGACACAGAGCCGTCATGAAACAAGCGCCCCTTTCTGAGCACTACCTGCTGCCTTTCTCCCACCAGACACCTTTCGCCTCAGCACAGCCAGGATTCTCATCTGAGACAGGGAGTTGGGAAATCACAAAGCATGAAACTGACTGGGGGAGTGAAAAAGAACATCATGAAACATTACCTAATTGTTTAGTCATGTTGTCATGCATTGTCCAAAACTGGCCTGGAGCAGGAGTACAGCCAAGGAGGAATATAAACAATATCTTGCATTAGGATGAGTGGCCTCATTTCTGGCCTTTCTGATTCATACGAGAGGTGGAGGAAGACATTCAACTTGAGCTCTCCTAGAGCCACAGACCAGGCGCACATTCTCAGGGACAGAAAGAGTTCTGAGGGGTCAGGGCCGAAAGAACATTTACACAAGCACTCCAGCAGGGAATTAAAAAGTACCGTATGTTTTTGCCTTTCAAAGCATGATTCCCTTTCCTGTTTTTGTTATTCTGAAATTAAAAACATTTGGTTGCTGTGCCAGCCAGCAAAGGCAGCATACACCCCAGGTCAGCAACCCCCCCTTGTGTCATGCCAGGGCAGACCATGAAAACATCTCTAACTTCAGAAAAGCACGGCTGGGCGTGGTACTTGGCACCACGTTCATGTCTCCCCATCGCACACCACGGCTAGCTGGGGCTGTCTCCACGTTTAAAAAGAAATCCTGCAGGCACCAGCAACGGCGACTTTAGAATACAGATGTGCGCCCTGGTGGCTATCTCCGTGGCCTCTGGTGGGGGTGTGGCTACATGACGCTGTCCAGGGAACTGCTGGCTCTTTCAGAGCTGGGTCCTGCTGAAAGGCACCACGAATGAACAAACGAAACCAAACCACAGGCATCTTCCCCAAGCCCCGAACACATAAAGCCCACCCTCACCTGACTGCGTGCAGGTAATCAAAGAGAACTAGGCCACACTTTTGGAAAGAACAATGTGGTTACCCTGCTAAATGCAGGGTCACTAGTTTGAAACCGCCGGCTGCTCAGCAGGAGAACGAGGAGGCTTTCTACTCCTGTAAAGAGTGGCAGTCTCAGAAACGATTCTAGCCTGTCCCATAGGGTCACTAGAGTCAGAGTTGATGCAATGGCAGCGAGTTTGGTGTTCTGAATTCAATGGACCAAACTCTGAACCGGCAAAAGAGATGTTAAAGAGATCATTATCTTCTAACTATTGGAGAGGGCGATTTTCTTTTATTTTTTAAACTCTTAATATCATTCACCTCAATATCTCAATATCTTAGTCCCACCTCCTAAGCCCATGTGAAATGAGATTCATTTCACCAAATTTAAACATTCAGGAAAAGAGCTGCTGTCTACCCACAAGGCCAACCAGCTAAGCCTCTTCAGTACACTTCCTTCATGAACTCTAACGCTTAGGGAACAGGCTGGGGCATGTTTTTGCAAGATTATCTCACCTATCAGTTACTGTGACTCTTTCTTCAGTGTTTCACCCTTAGAAGTTGTAAGTAAGCAACAACAAGATACACACTCATCTCAAAGAGAGAAGCCCATGGTGAGCTGGGCTCAGCCTGATCCCCACACCTGCCTGAAGTGCCTTACTTCCAGGTGAGGGTGGAGATGGCGGGCGGGGCACTGAGGGCCTGACAGCTGGCCTCCCAGTCCTGTTTACTACAGTGCCTGGAACACCGAGCAGAATGAAACCTTACAAGACTGAGATGCTCTTTATTCTCCACTCTAACCAGAGGCAGGCAGAGCTCTAAAACTCTGGCCTTCTATGTCGGTGACCCAAGTTCAATTCCCGGCCAACACATCTAATATGCAGTCTCCATTCATCTATCAGTGGAGGCTTATGTGCTGATATGAAGCTGAAGAGTTTTCAGTGAAGCTTCCAGACTAAGATGGGTTAAGAAGAAAGGCCTGGCGATCTCCTTCCAAAAACATATCCAGTAAAAACCCTAATGAAGTACAAGAGCCTGGCCCTGTTTGGGGGGGCTTCATGAGTTCGGGCCAACCCAAACACCACCACCATGATGGCAGAGCACATCTATACATTTCAGGGGCTTCAGATGAAGCAGCTGAGGCCCGAGAGGTTAAAGGACTTGCCCGAGTTCCCAATTTGTAAAAGGCAGAGCCAGGATCCAAACCCGGGGCTCTCGAGATCCCAGCACGCAGGCTTCTAACCACACCATCATCAGTCCTTGTCAGGAGACACCAAGCAGCAGCTTATTTTGCAAAATGAATGATACCTTAAAGACCTTAGAGAAGGCCCAAAGGAAAAAAATCACACATACGCAACAACTTAAATCATTAGCAGGCATTGAAGCAAAGAAAGGCTCCAACTTACAATGACTTTCAGGTTTCCCTTAACATCGAAAGATTTGGTCACCCAGTTGACAGACTTTTTGCACTTCAAGATCAGGATGAGATTCTTGACCACTTCAGGACCCTTTTGGAAAGGTCTAATGTCAATTATGATGTCCACCTGGAAAGCGCTGTGAATGGAAAACAAAGGCAAAGTTAGGCCCTAAATGCCAGAAAGTTGCAACTAGCTCCCCTCATCCAAGTCTTCGTGTTTCCAGTGTCTGGCCAGTTTATTAAAAAGCTGGAGTGCATCCCAGGCAAATGACATGTGCAAAACAGATGGTTATTGTACCCATAACAAAACCATTTTACATAACAATAGAAATGCGTGCCTGCTGATAATTAGCCACTAAAATTTTCATCTTCTCTGACGAGAAGGAAAGAAAGTCTCAAAGTACAGTGGTTACTCACTGCTGCCACTGTTGTTGGATTGGAAGGGCCAGAGTTTACTTCTGAAGCAGGCTCGCTGCTTCTCCAGCCCTCAACACCTTGAAGATGTAATTTTCTAACTTGCTGAGTGGGTTCAAATTCCTTCAGAACCAGAAGGGGGCTGCACGTTAGTAGGTGAGGTGTGGCGGGCATGCAGTGGGGCGGGGCCGGTGGGCACGGTGGTAAAAATTAGAAGATGACACAATAAATGAAGTAAGTCTAGAAACTTTCTTGACTTGGACAAGGTGCAATCGCTTAAGCACTGACAGTAGAATCAGAGCTGCATTTATTTTCCCAAATGTGTGGACAGAGTTATGGAAATAAAGCAGACAGATGGTCAGTCAATTGATTACTGAAAAATTGATGAGCACCAGCCAAATTTCTAAGACTTCATCATAAAAGAGAGTTTTTACCAAATAATAACATCTTTATGAATTTAAGGAGAAAAAAATCTTTATTTCCATCTTACTTTTCTTATACATATGCAAAGCATAAAATGAACAGTACACTCAAATGAAGCCTTTGGCTTAATATCTAAGTGCATTTGTCGAATTGCATCTATCTACAATCATTCCCTTCTAATTTTCCACAAAATTCTTTATGAGGGGCAGGACGGAATATTACCAGAACTAATTTGTAGTTTTCATTTGCTTTTGGAATCAAAATTTGACTTGGGTTTTAACTTGCAAATCATGCTACCACTTAGCATCTAAGAGAACAAAATACCTAGGGATGAATCTAACCTGAAGGACTTGAACACTGACAGCACAAAGCACTCCTGAACGAGATTAAAGAGGGCTGAAAGAAAGGGAAAGATTTCAACGTTCTTGGGTTGGAAGATTTCCACACTACCCAAGGAAATCGGGATTCAATACAATCCCGATAAAAATGGCAACAACTTTCTTTACAGAAATGGACAAAGCAACGCTCAACTTTATGTGGAACAGCAAGAGGCCTCAAATAGCTAGCGTGCTGCTAACGCAGTACAACAAAATAAGAGGACGCACACTTTCTGACTGTAAAACGTACTCTATGGGCATGCTATCAGGAAAAATCAGTTCCTGGAAAAGGCCATCATGCTTAGCTAAGTAGAAGGTCAGCGAAAAAGAGGAAGACTCTCCAAGATATGGGCTGGCATAGCGGCTGCACCAATGGGCTCGGATATCACAAGCATTGTGAGGACAGCCCAGGGCCAGGCAGGGGTTGTGCTATTGCATATATGGTTGCTAGGTGTCGGAGCCAACTTGATTGCGCCTAATAACAGCAATACAACATATGATTACAGTAATCAGAACAGCCTGGTATTGAGCTAACATCAGACACACAGACCAATGGATCAGAATTGAAAGTCCTGAAATAAGCCCATACATCCACTGCCAACTGACTTTTGACAAGAGTGCTAAGTCCATTCAATGGAAAAAAGAAGGGTCTTTTTAATAAACTTGGTAAAATTGGATTTCCATAGTGAAAAAAAAATGAGATAAGATCAATGCCTCAGCATCACACAAAAACAAATTCAAAATGCATAAAGAACCTGAAAGTGTAAATTCAAACCAGAAAATTTTAGAAGAAAATCCATGGGTAGAGCTGTCGGGCAGTTTTCTAACAATGAATCATCTAACAACAAAAGTACAAAATCAATAAACCAACAAAATAAATAGAGGCAAACTCATAAAACTTAAAAGCTTTTGCTCATCAAAAGACTGTCAAAAAAGTAAAAGAAAGGCAAGCTTCTGACTGGGAGAATATCTCTGGAAAACATGTCCAGTAACAAGCTAATAGCCCAAAACATCAACAGCTTAACAACAAAAAGACAAACAACACGATCATAAAATGGGCAAAGGACTTGAATAAACATTTCACCAAAGAGGGCACCCAAATGCCTAGCAAACACATGAAAAGAAGTCCAACATCACTTAGCAATTAAGAGAGATGCAAACCCAAGCCACAAGAGATGACAACCCATCCCACTAGGATGGCTAAAATGAGTCCTGGTGGAATTGTGGAGAAAGCATTGCATTGCTAACCACAAAGCAGGAGGGTCAAATCTACTAGTCACTCCCAGGGAGAACGATGAGGTTGTTTGCCTCCATAAAGATTTACTGTTTCAGAAACACAGTTGATGAACTGGTTTAGAAACACAGCTTAGAAACACCATGAGTCGATGCCAACTCATAGTGATCCTACAGGACAAGGTAGAACTGCCCCCATGAGTTCCAAGACTGTAACTGTGCAGGGTTACTCTGACTCATAACCCACTTGGTGGCATTAGTGGGGTGGCTACGATTTAAAAAATAAAATAATGTAAACAAAATAACAAAGGTTGGCAAGGATGGAGAGAAATCAGAATCCTCATTCCCTGCTGGTAGAAATACAAAATGATAGCTGTTGTGGAAAACTGTAGTAGCAGTTCTTCCAAAAATCATATAAAAACAGGACTCCCATACAAAGCTCTCCCTGGCTGCCCGGCTATCAAAAAGTATAGCGTCTGGGGTCTTAAAGGCTTGAAGGTAATCAAGCGGCCATCGAGCTCAGAAGCAACAAAGCCCACATGGAAGAAGCACACCAGCCTATGCAGCCACGAGGTGTTGAAGGGATCAGGTGTAAGGCATCATCAGAACAAAAAATCTTACCATAGTGAATGATGGGGGGAGTGCGGAGTGGAGATCCAAAGCCAATTAGTAGGCCACTGGAGATCCCCTTGCAGAGGGGTCTCGGGGAGGAGATGAGCCAGTCAGGGTGCGATGTAACAACCTCCAGTTCCTAAAGGTTTCCTCCCCGCTCCCACTACCATGACTCGAATTCGATCTTGCAAGACTGGCTAGACCAGAGGAGGTACACTGGTACAGATAGGAACTGAAAATACAGGGAATCCAGGACGGATGAGCCCTATAGGACCAGTGGTGTGAGTGGCAAAACAGGGAGGGTAAAGGGAGAATGGGTAGGAAAGAGGGAACCGATTACATGGAACTGTGTGTGACCTCCTCCCTGGGGGACAGACAATCGAAAAGTGGATGAAGGGAGACGTCGGACAGGGCAAGATATGACAAAATACCCATTTATAAACTATCAAGGGCTCATGAGGGAGGGGGGAGTGGGGAGGGAGGGGAAAAATGAGGACCTAATGTCGGGGGTTTAAATGGAGAGAAAATGTTTTGAGAAACTATGTACAAATGCGCTTTACACAACTGACGTGTGTATGGATTGGGATAACAGTTGTATGAGCCCCTAATAAAATGTTAAAAAAGAGAAGAGAAAAAAAAGAAAACAAGCAAAAGATAAATTAATAAAGGAAGTAAATATAAAAAAAACAACAACCTTATAACAAATGTGACTTCCTAAGTATAAAAAAACAAAAACAAAAACAAAGCTCTCCCTGGCATCAAGTCGCGTCTGACTCGTGTTCTTTGCTTGTTTGCTGTTGTGGTCAGGTGCGGTTGAGTTGGCGCGGACTTACACCAGCCCTGTACCACAGAACGAAACACCACCTATTCCCGAGTTCGCCTCACAGGTGTTCTTATGTTTGAGCACGTTATTGCAGCTATTGTGTCGATCCATCTTGTTGAGTGTCTTTTTTCCACTCCATGAAGCATAATGTACTTCTCCAGGAATGGCTATCTTTTGATAACACAGTTTATTATAACCCACACATTCAAATGCCTTTGCACAGTTAATGAAACACAAGTAAACATCTTTCTGGCTTTCTCTGCTTTCAGCCAAAATCCAGCTGACGTCACCAATGACATCCCTTGTTCTGAGTGAGCCCCTTCCTTGCTTTATTAGCTCGTTGAAACATTTCAACTGGTATTCCATAAATTCCTGAAGTCTTGTTCTTGGCTAATGCTTTCACTTGGTCTTCTTTCTTCAGTAACACTGGTTCTTGCTGACACGCTACCTCCTGAAATGGTTGCATGTCAACTAGCTCTCTTTAGTACAGTGACACTGTGTATCATTTCCATCTTCGTTTCTTTTGCTTCCTACAGGCTTCAGTGTTTTGCCCATCTCAAAAACTCACTGCCATCAAGTCCACGCCAACTCAGAGTGATCCGATAGGACAGGGTAGAGCTGCCCAGGTGAGTTTCCAAGACCCTAACTATTCATGGGCGTAGAAATCCCCGTCTTTCTCCCGAGGTCGGCAGGTGGTTTCAAACCACTCCTGTGCTTCACAGCTCAACTCATAAACCATTGTGCCACCTGGGCTCCATTTTGCCCACAGAATCTTTCATCATCACCACTCAAGGCTTGAATTTTTCTTGAGTTCTTTCTATTTCAGATATACTGAGAACGTTCTTCCTTTTAGCTTTTCTAACTCTACTTCTTTGCACATTTCACTGTAATATCTTATTTTGTCTTCAAAGAACTTCCAATTCTTTGGAATTTTCTGTTCAGCTCTTTGACTTCATTTCTTCCATTTGCCGTAGCCACTCGATGGTTAGGGAAAGTTTCAGTCTCTTCTGACATCCATT